GATAGCCCTTGAAATTGGAGTCCAAACCTTGAGATATCAGAAACAGCACGTGCTGGGCGACCGGTCGCATATACTGAGCGACCGGTCGCTTTTCACAGAACCTCCAGACTTCGACTCTGCCAGAAAACGACCGGTCGCAAATAGCTGGCGACCGGTCGCTAGTCGACATAGCTTCAGACTTCGACTCTGCCTCAAACGACCGGTCGCTAATAGCAGGCGACCGGTCGCTAGTCCGAAATTTTGTATCCTTTATGCAAGCCAATTTTCCAACACTTTGGACAAAGTAATGTATATTAGCCACAGCGAATATACATAACTTGGTTGTGTTTGCGGTGTCTGTTTTTCCCTTCTTCTCCAGTTTTTTATGTTTTTTTTTTCATAGGCTAGTATGAGCACTGAGCTGATTTGTGATTGTATTTTGTTCTTTTTGTGGCTTACTTCTGTTTGTGTTCCGGTGCATTTTCTGGCGTTGTAATGAAAATCTCACTTGATAAAATAAAAAAGTATAAAAAATTTAACGAACAATGCAAGTGCAATAGATGAGCTTGACTGGGGTAGGAGCACAATACCGCAATTTTAAAGAAAATCACATCCAAGCTGGTGAGTTCTGAGTTTGTTTCTCAAAATTTGATGTAAAAGGTCATAACCGGAATGTAATGTATAATAGGATAGTTGTCAATTTTTGGGTTTTTGTGTGTGTGTTTATAAGGGTAAAGGGTTGAAAACCCCCCTGGACTATTTGGCTTGTCGAAATGTCCACCCTGAAATTTTTTTTCAGCCAATTTAGCCTTCGTATTAAATTTAATCGCCAATTTCACCCATGCCGTTAGGTTTTCCTCAATTCCATCCAAATGCCTGTCAAATATAAGGGTAAATTTGACATTTTACAAGGTAATGCATTAAGAAAATAAGGAAAATGTAATGTAATATATTTAAAAGGTATAGCCGCCCGGCTATACTGGCAACCTTTAAAATTTAATCTCCACCCTCCCTGCCACCTCCTCTAACCCTAACCCTAACCCTAACCCTTCTTTTGTTCTAGAACAGCTCAAGGTGAACACTTTGACACACCCCAAGATTAAATTCGAAGTGAGAAGCTTTTGGAAGGCGGAAATTTGTAGGGCCCTGCACGAAAGGGTTTCTGAAATTGATCCGCAGGGCAATATAAGGAAGATTCGCGAAGGCGAAATCGTGGAGACTTTGAAGCTCGTCGGGAAGGGAAACTAGTTCTGCTGGTGAAATGGTTGCTGCACACTGGACTAGCTAATCAAAGAATGCGCTGCTGGAAGGAGGCTGGGATGCTACCCTTGCTTCTGAAACCAACTGGATCGACGGGTTTCACAACTGGCTATGGCTCTCAAATCGGAAGGTATGCTGCGGGCCTAGGAACTGGATATGCATCTATAACTGGCTATAGATCTCGAACTGAAGCAAACATTCCGCCTTGTTTTATCCATCTCCGTCCGAGCTGGCTACCCCTGCTCTTGAGCTGCATGTGAGGAGGAAGGGGCTGGGGAAGACGATGATTGCCTTCCCTTTTTCTTTTCTTTTTTTTTTCTTTTTTTTTTTGCAGTTTTGTAGTTTTAACAATTTAATTATTTTAAACTTTAAAAAATTAAATTTAATTCAACAGTGAATCACGTGCTCATGTGCCTCTCACGTGGTTTTTTTTATGGTTTTGAGTTATGTAAGAAAGAGGTCAATTTGTAGGGTTTCTGGGAGTTTATGGAATTGTAAATGTCTTACAAAATGAGTATGAAATAAAAATTGACCCCATGCTCTAGGGGTTTTGTAGTTTGTCCTAAAACCGATACTTACTATTTAGATACTTCTGCTAACAAGAGTTTCCCAAAACTGTTCAAACAATAGGAACACAAAAACATCCAATCATATCATAATCAAGGTCTAAAATATCGATGATATCGGAAATATCGATAGTCCAAAAACACGGAAATTTCGATGAAAATATCGGGATATTATCGATATCGATAAAAATTGAATAAAAACCACGGAAATTGTAAGAAAAACTTGAAATTTATATTGAAACTTTGGAGAATGTTTATTTAGTCAATTATCTATTAGTTTATCACAAAAAATTAGAAGGAAATGCATTGCATGATGGATTTAACTGATTTAAGTTGATTATACAACAAGCTGGCAAACACTGTAAGTGTAGAAAATATGTAGTAATTAATGAAAAAAGATTAAACACACCATAATCATTTATAAATAATGATTTACTACAATATTTTACACTTTATACATTGCATGGTAAGATACATGAATGACTTAGTACTACATAGAGTTCTTATGAGGTTCAAATTTTTTATTATCTGCATCATCTCTATGTGTAGAGTAAGTATATTGTAAAGAGTAGCCATCAAATGATAAATCCCCAAAATAGTTTTGCATGTAATTGCTAACATGCCATCCATATGAATATAAATATTTTAGCATATTATCACAAAAATATAAGTGATATGGTGGTTAAGGTGTTGGAGGAGTAAAATGGGAGGGGTTCAAATCCCTTCTGTGTTAATGTCCCACAACTTAACATACAAGTGCTTCTGACTCATTTCTCAGCCATTTCATGCTCAATCCATTCGACCTTCGATTCACAATCTTCCAATTTAGAAAATCTCTCTCTGTTCTCTTGACATAAAAGCATCCCTTTTGCAAAAGCCCACGTCTCAAAACTGCATGTTGATACATCAAACGATCCCTGATGATTCCACAACACTCCAGGCAGTGATGTTTCAGGAAACCTACTTGGAAATACCTGAACAAGTCCTCCATCATTCTCATCTTTCTTACCTTGTCTTCCTCCATCATTCTCATCTTTCTTACCTTGTCTTCTCCTTTTCTTCATCCCAGATGGGCTTTACATACGTTGAGTAGGAAGTACACCATATGAGAAAATTCAACAATAGGGTCAGTTTAGTAACTTACTATATCATTCATCCATATATCAGAAAGATAGAATTAAAAACACATAGAAAGATCACATTTATTGAAACCTTGACTTCAACAATCAAGAACCTTAATATATGACTCCACTCACAAATACACAAAATCCTGAAAAAGTAGATTAACCGGGTAAAGAATTACTTGTAGACATTTTCAAGTCTTTTTTTCAAGTGTCTGGCTGAAGCACTGGCAAGCTCATCTACCATTTCCCCCTTTAGATAGCAATGGAACGTTGGCTGCAGCAAAACACACACATCAGCATAGTAATCTTCCATTTAAGATGAAATCAGGGCTAAAATATATTCCCTCAGCTTGAACATACCGCTTAGCCCATTTTCCAGGATAAGAATAGCTTGTTTATAATTTTCTAAATTATTAATGAGAATATGATAAGAAATACTAGCCAAATTTAGAACTACTCTGAAAATGTGAAACACATGTGAAATTACATCACTGAACTAAGTGCAGACATTTACATTCAAACAAAATAGAAGGATCGAATCATTTACCGTCTTGTGAATTTCCAACTTGTCCAATGAGGATGCACGGGCTTCCTAAAGGTAGAATAAACAACATCAGGTCTACTAATTCATAAGCATAACAAAAAATAATACTGTGATTCATCTATGAGCAACTGCACAGCGGATCGTAATTAGAATAGGGAAAACAAATTATTGCATGAGCGATCGAGTAATGCATAGCTAATGAAAAATACATTTGTTTTATCGTGTAGACGATTAAGTTATCTTTCACCCACTATGCCTTGTTGCACATTTCATTTCAACTGTTCAGTATTCGAAAAACACAATTTTGATTACTTCACACAGTATCATGGACTGTCAAATATGAAAAGTGTAGGCAAATCTTCCCTGGAATCCCAACAATATTTCTATTGTTATTACAAAAGTATAGGCAACATCTTCCCTGGAATCCCAACCAATTTAAGATGAACAGTGTAGTGATGTATTGACCTTATCTGTTTGACTAAAGTAACCTTCTGCTAAAAACAAAATAGAAGGATCGAATCATTTACCCCTTTGTGAGAAATTCCAAATATGTCCAATGGGCATTTAGGGCCATTCTGTAGATACAATAAACAACATTAGGTCTACTAATTTAGAGGCACAACAAAATATAATATCATGATTCTTCTATAGGCAGCTGCATGTCGGATCTTTATGCATGACATGGGCCAGCGAATAGTGCATAGCTAATGAAATTGTGTTATCAAGTACCCAATTAAGTTATCTTTAACCCCGAACAAACATGCTGTAGGGCAATGAGGGAAGATAGGAAGAAATGGGAAATCCGGACTCACCCTAAGCCTTTGGCATCCCACCAAAGGTTTCACGTTGAGAAATTAGACACATACCGAAGGTGCCTTGGAATCACTATAAGACAACCTGTGCCTCATACACAAGCAGAAATTCACAAAAAAAAATTTTTTTTTTTTTTTTCACTAACTCTGATTTTATGCCTACAAAGTAGCCCCTTTTATAGGGAAATTGCTACATGAATCTGGAAAGATCCCCATTAACACACTGGGGAATTTAAAGACATTATTATTACACCTAAATTAATACATTAATCATGTGACATTATTGTGTGTGTGTGTGTGATTCATCCATTATTGTGTTTGTCACAAAGTCCATCAACAAGAAGATCATTAGGGGAGTGAGTGAAAGTTAAGTGTCAAAATTCACAACAAATTTGACATGTTCAAGTAGAATGATCTTAAGTTGGTTGCCAAGTTGACCATCTATGCTTAGTACACAGGATCTCCCACCACGTAAGAACATGGTGGAGGATGCTCTAATACCAAACTAATGTAGAACAGTAAGGGAAGATAGGAAAAAATGAAAGATCCGGACTAACTCCAGCCTTTGGCATCACACCAAAGGTTTCAAGTTGAGAAATTAGATAAATTCCAGCATCACACCGAAGGTGCCTTGGAATCACTCCAAGACAACCTGTGCCTTACACAAGCAGAAATTCGCAAGAAACTTTTTTTTTTTCCTTTCACCAACTCTGATTTTATGCTTACAAAATAGCCCCTTTTTATAGGGTAATTGGTACATGAATCTGGAAAGATCCACATTAACACGCTAGATAATTCTAAAGACATTTATTACACCTAATACATTAATCATGTGACACAGGGAAACCCAAAGACAGTAAACCTTAGAAAATTGCATTTATTACATAGGAAAGAAACTAGAAAGAATTCCATTTATTAAACTTGAACTTTGGTCCTGCATAATTCTCCCTCGAGTTTGACATTGAGGTAGTTGATGCAGAATGCGTAGGACCTAAATTGATTAGTTTCCTAGTTTATTTGTTAGTTTCCTAGATTCTCTAGTTTTCCAGTTTCCTAGTTTAGGATTTCTGTTTTAGCAAGGGATTTTTATCCTATTATCTCTAGGTTTTAGTTTGCTATAAATACTCTCATGTAGTTCTTTAAAATTCAGATTTAGATGTTGAATAAACCCTCTCTTAAAACTCCCTGCTTTCGGTCCTTTCTGTCGTCTATTCAATTTATCTTTTCTTCTCCTCCACCTCTATATTCTTCTCGGTTTTACTGTTTTAAGTGTTTAATCATACTCCTAGGGGCTGTGCTACATCAGTAGCAGAGTGATCATAAGTTGGTTGCCAAGTTGACCATCTGCCCCTAGTTCACAGGATCTCCCACCATGTAAGAACATGGTGGAGGATGCTCTGATACCAAACTGATGTAGAACAGTAAGGGAAGATAGGATTTGTGGGCCTATATTTGTACTCTTGTCTATAGTGATGTATTCATACTATCAATTTTATTAGAGCAACTTCCTCTATATCCAATCAATCAAAGAAATATATATTTTTTTCTCAAAGACAATGAAATAGTACACAAAACCAAGCATCCCACAAGAAAGACAAAACAAGATGTAATTGTCAACAAAATCATTAAATCCATATTACAGGTTCCAAGCCAAACTTATCCCTCAGCCCAAACAATCTGAGTTTGGTTGTGGTACTTTTAAAGGAAAGAAAAATGTTTTATATCAAACAGTATACCATGCTGCATAAGAAGTACATGCCTAAGAGTAAGAAAATTACCAAACCACTGTTTCCAATAAACCATAAACCAATTCAAAATTTAAAAAATTACAGAAATTTATTAAACTTCAGACCCATAACTGGATTACATGACTGAGAACACTTGCGTTTGTTTTGACCTAATCTTAAAGATGGGATTCATAAAATTCACAATAAAACTACATGCACACCGACTAATTTTTAAAAAAAAAAAAATTAATCCAAGTTGAAGGAAAACCATATTAAAATCACAAACCTTATCCATGTAAACCTTATACATTGTTATATGTCGGAATTGCTCACACAACTCATCAAAGATTGGAGTTATCCACTTACGGGCTGCACAAGAAGAGAGCAATTTATTGCAAATGACTTGATTGATGAAAGTAAATTCATTGATTAGAAGTCAGAACTTACTAGCCAGGCACCCGGGTGCAGTGTAGTAGAAAACCGCAGACGAGCTATCATCTATGCCAAGGAATTAAAAATAAATTAAATTAAATTAAAAATCCACAACAAAACTTAATTCCCTATTTTGAATATTTGTAAAATTAAGAGGGGATGAGGTTGGTGGAGAAATTGGCATACTTTTAACTTTTTCAAGTGCCTTATAATGCATGCTGAGACTCTCAATGACGAATAGGTTTGAGGGACCTGAAAGTAAATTTTTTGAATCTGAATCTGAATCTGAATCTGAGTCTGAATCTGAATCTGAGAGTGAGGATGAGGAGAGGCATCGTCGCTGTTGCAGAAATTGAAGGTTTGGGGTGTGAATGGAATAATGGGAGAAGGGTTTGGAAGTTGAACGAATATGGATTGTCTGTGGTGAAGAAGGTGTGGTATTTGGTACTGAAGTTAGGTTTTGGATGGATTTTTGGTGAAGATGATGAAGACGACCTGCTGCACACGGGTTGTTGCGATTGCCAAGCAACTGCCGCATCAAAACCCCCAAATTCCTCGCCATTTTCGTCTCTCTCACTTCGCTTTTCTTCTTTTCGGTCCTCTTCCGCTTGGCTTCTTTTCGGTTGTTTGATGTTCGGTTACACCTTGAGACATGTTTACTCACTAGTTTTTCAATTTTTACAATTACATGCTCCAGTTTTTTGAAATAAAAATTAGGTATTATAAATAGGGAAATAGCGGTATATGCCACCAATTTTATAATCTTAACTAAAAATACCACTCCTCCCCAATATTTGTACAACTATCACCTATAAATATAAAATTATTGTCCACTTATTGCTGAATTTTCACAACTTCAGAAATTTTGTTCTCTCTTAGGTCACTCAGCTCTCTCTCTCTCTGGCACAGCTCTCTTT